GAAATTCATAAAAAACAACATAAACGACAAATACCCAATGTAATATACCACTGACATTAGAGCACTATGATTATAGAGGTGTTTTCCTGATCACCACCTTATATTTGGGGTCAATTCACAAAAACCACCTTATGTTTCCAAATTATTCCTAAACCGCCTACTATTTATCCTTTTGTTCCAATCAACCACCTAACCCCATAAGTTTCTCTCAAATTCCTTGAATACCCTCTTGAAAGCTCATGTGCTTTGCATGTGACCTCTCTTTATCAAACCCTTAACCAAACCAGTTAAAGACCCCCACCCCACCCCCACCCCCGAAAATAATAATAATAATAATAATTTGTTAAAACCGGAGAAAGGAAAAAAAGTGTTCGTTCTCTTTTAACAAAAACCCAAGCCCCCCCCCCCCAACCCCAACAAAAAAAAATCCCACCCCCAAAAAACTCAAAATCCTTACTTCATAATTCCCCTAGCTATCAAACCCTAGATCAATTAATTTCTTTACCAAGAAGAAGAAATCATAACAAATTTTTGGGTTTCATCTATATAGACTGAAGAGAGATTGTTTCAGGTGGTTCTTTTTCTAGTGGTTCTTTTTCCCATGGAAACTTGATTGGGGTGTATTGCAACTGCAAATTTAGGACTTCTTGAGATGGCCGAGAAGTATGTGGAATTGGAAGAAGAAAGAAAGAGAATTGAATTTGAGAACAAAATACTCAAAGACGAGAATTTTCAATGAAGAAAGATATGCATGGAATAAGAATGAGAGGTAAATGTTGTAGCTTCTTAAAGCTTTTTTATAATTTTTGTGACGTCTTTTATGAAAGGTTTGGGAGGAATGAGAAATAGAGATCAATGTAATTTTGATTGTGATGATTTTTAATTTTTTTGGAGTAAATTTAATAGAAATATATGGCGATCGATATACTTTTCCTTGATGAAATGAATTTTTTTTCCAATGGGTCAACATGAATGTTTGGTGAATTTTTTTTAAGCTTATGAAATTTTCTTAGCTTGGTAAAATTTTCTTTTTTAGAAGGAGAGATAATATCTTTAGATCGCAGATTTTAGGGCTAGGGCTAAGGATCACATCATCATATGGTGACAGCTCTTTGTTTGTTTTTTTCAAATTTTTTATTTTTCATGTTTTATATAGGTGGGTCCTTCACTAACTGATAGTTTGGTTAAGAGATGTCACGTAGCAAAGCAGAGTGAGCTTTTATTCTGTTTATGCTTGTTCAAGGAGGCATTCCGCGAGTTGAGAGAAATATAGGGTCAGGTGGTTGATTGGAACAAAAAGAAAAACAGTTGGTGATTTAGGTACAAATTGGAAGCACAAGGTGGTTTCTATGGATTGTCCCCAAATATAAGGTGGTTTCCAAGAAAAAAACCCTAATTATACTGACAAATAATAAATATTAATCCATAGAATGAAGTTGTCACATAAAAAGGAACAAAAATAACAAAAACTACTATCCCAAAAATAATTAACACTTAATGCCAACAAGCTAGCAACTGAATAACCCGCATTATTCTGATTTATACACATTGTTTTATACGTCCTGCATCTGAACAAATATAAAACCTGTAAGATGTGAGAAAATTGAGTCTCTTCAAGATAAGCCTCTCACCACTATAATATAGGAAACTATCTATACACGAATGCGTATAAAGGAACATGCAGCTCATATTTCAGTACCACAAACTGAACACCCAAATATTCTAATAAAAAAACTTAGCCTTTCTTTACGATAAATGATTCCCCAACCAGAATAACAATAAATTCATGTTTGATTGTCTGGTGGCATGATACTAATCTTCAAATAGTCTCTTAACAACAATTTTTTCTTCTCATGCTAACAACTCATTTGCTTTAAATTTCCAAATTTGCAAGTACTTTCACCGGAAAGCAATTAAAATTTCTCAAATGTATACAAAATGATGTGGGCATGACCGACTTATTACTTAATGTAGTCCTAGGATGCAAGGATACGGGTGTGGTTGCAGACACGAATATGAACAGTAAATTTATAAAAGACAGGATACGGGAACATGGTACAGACAAATGTGTGTGTGCGCGTTTATGTATCCTATGGGAAACTAGCATATCATAGGATATGCTCCCTATATGTGTGTGTCTATGCTCCCTATATGTGTGTGACACACACATATGAAGCATATCCTATGACATGCAAATTTCTCATAGGATATGAGAATACACAAATCCTATCCATTTATTTTAATTTAATGGTCACAATTAAAATAACCCTAAATAGAAAGAACTAATCTCTCTCTCAAATCTAGTGTTTTATTTTTCTTATTACAATAAGTAATTAATGAGA